CGTCTTGACAAATAGGCCAAGATTGTAGAACGATATTTTCAGGATAGGAAAGTTAAAAAACGGTGAGACGGGGACGAAACGGCATTAAATTTAGCGGAACGGGGGAGAACACATGACAGGAAGAAGCGACAAAATGCCCTTACATCAAACTGCCCTGATAACTCCACTCCGCCGCCTACTCATTTCGATTTATATTTTTGTTGCTCTTATCTATTGATCCAGTCTCAAGTTCTGTGTTTCCGTGCGTATCACAGACGGACGGGGTATGCTTTAATGCTTCCCACTTGGTTGCAATGAGAGATTTTGGAATTCAACTTTGGTAGGAAATACGTTTTTATGAACTGTATTCGAGTGGTCTTGAATTACCATTCACACACAAATGAATACGATAATCTAAGTAGTAAGTACCCCAGAGTGATTGGCTGAGCGGTGTACACATCACTCGTAATTATCTATATGTTTACCTGATACTGCCATCAGCTTTCTTATTCTCTCTACCACCACTCCTGTATTAAAATGGACAACAAAATACGGCAATTGTGGCGCAAAGGTGAATCGTTCATTAACCAACGGAACTAAGTCGGTTAATGAATTACATGTTCGAATCAGGTCCGTTTTTACAACCGTTAACCGTGCAACTTTATGCACCGGTTTTGGTTGTGTTGGCTGCCCAGTTGGGATAAGAAAAGTCAAAAGAAGGATGGAATATTGAGAGCAGAAGTGAATAGAAGCTAAAGAATTCATATAGACCGAGGTTGCAAGAACAGTGAGCAGATGCACGAATGCCACTGTGCGTAACACTCAGCCATCACCGGCTGCCAGGGAGCCTAACGCGACTCATATGATCGAGTCTCCTGGTTGCGGTTTTCATACCCTAGTGCTAGGTCTCAGTTTGACCACTATTGACCTCTTTTTCATCCGCTCTCGGCCTCGGTAAACATCACGCACCATGGCAATCTATTTGGTGACATGCGTAACACATGTCCGAACCAGCCCAGTCTATGGAAGTAAACTGCTTGGGGCTACCGCGATTACCTGAAACTCGGCGTCTAACCTTAGCACGGTTTGTCCAGTTTCCCCACCAGACACGTGCAATGCTGCGTAGACAGTGATGTTTGAACACCGACAGTCTATCCTGTTTTGTTAATGGCCAAGTTTCCGTACCGTGAAGTAGAACTGGCTGAACTGCTGCAGCATATACTCNCCAAAAAGGTTTCAAGTTGGAAAATGCCAAGCGATCTTTTTTATACATGCCCAGAGTTCATCCGTGATGCGTCCCACGGGTGAGAAAATCTTGTTCAATACCTCTGTTAGTTCTCCAGCTAGAGTGAGGTTGGGTACAGAACCAATTCAGTCCTTAAGCAAAATTTTACACTTGATGATGTAAAACTCGTGCCGAACATCGCGAAATTACCACTCGAACTATCAATGCAGTAACTGCATTGAGAATGTCACCTCGATTGGTGATGAAACGTCTGCAATACAATTGCCAAACTCGGCGAAAAACTGAGCACCAAGTTATACTACCCGAACTACAAAAACAACAATCAACACCGTTATTTACAAAACTGTCACATATATTCCCTTTTGTTCCGTGCCAGAACCATTAGGTATAACTTGCCGTAACCGATTTCGTTCCAGAGTGCTGTGCCGGAAGCTTTCCTCGGTGGCGTGCCCATACATTTAACCAATTGCATCCACTAGCTCGTCCCCCTCGTCTGTTGCTACCATTGATGACCAGCATTACTACTAATCCCATGTAATACATGTAGAAAAGCAATTTGAAAGCTCAAAATTTTCCTCTAAGCTACGCCGAATGAGTGGGTTCCAAATTTGTCTATAGCGGGTTGTCCAGTTTGTTGACGTGTCAGTGTGTTTTTCTTCGTTCAGTTCGTTGTTGATACTGCTGTTCTCGGTTCTTGAGCACTTCAGATTACCGCACTCTTCTCATTACAATGACCTGTAACCGACTCGGTTGGTTTGCTATGGGTATCAATGCGGCTACATCGAAGGCGAACGCCAAACACCACTCGGAATAGGGAGAGGCTGTAGATGTAACGGAACATCGATAGTGTTGTTGGTGAGATTTACATGCAGGATTGTAGATCAAGGTTACCCTGGTAATGTATGCGTGCACACAAGGATGAATTTCAGTCAGGACACTGAGAAATAGGAGGCATATAGAGGAGAGGGTGGAACTAGTAAAGGATGCATGAGCATGTATGAATATAGTAAACTAAAAATCCCGAACAGATTTGGAGAGTAGGTACATCGTGTTTGCATAAGCAATTCTGGAAAAGTACCAGTGTGTACGTGTTTGGGTGAAGGGGGGAGGGAAAGTACAGTAGTGTGCCATAACTGTTTGTCACAAAAAACATGAATGATTCGAAACGGGCTTTCACATGTAGGAAAAACTGCGAACTGGTATCAAATAACCCTCGCTGATTTCGAACAAGATCGCAAGTGAATCAAGCGACAATAGGACGAACGAACGCAAAATGGACAGACTTACGCTGAATGTCATACGTCTGTGACAGACAATTTATTGATCACTATTGGTCACTTTGTTCCATATGGAACCGCCGATTGTGTGTTTACTGTGAGCCCACGAAAGTTCCAGACGAACGGGGATACAGCAATAAAAGCAATAGACACATTGACGACCAAGCTAATCACAACGGTTAGTTAATCTAACTTTATATTTGCCATAGTCATAACACACGCGGACACGAAACTCCCTAGCCTGTAAATCGGAGGAGCGGTAGCGCTTGCCACAGAGTACGAACAGCATATCTAAAACCCAAAAAGGATAAATTTCTGCTGCTGTGATGAGAAGGAAGAACTGAGGTATGCGTGCCTATCCCTTCAGAGAGAAGGAATGAGTTTACGATGGTGGAGTTTAAACAGTACCTCTGTTTAGGTAAGGAGTGCGCAGTAAACAAGAGAATGGGAAAATCAAGCCAAGTTATGGACACCACTATCTACCAAAACTCAACCATATGACCCGATTTGGCAGCAAATCATATTTAGTCTGGTAGGATGTGAACGCACCTGATTTGTGCCAAAAGGAGATATAACTTGTAAGCTGAGGACCTTCGGTCAATCGGTTGTCCATTCAAAGAACTGCTCAAACCCAAATATTAGTCACATCAAAAAGGAGCTTATGTAACGAGTCAATTAAAAACATGCTGTAACCAAATGAGAGAAGAGAGGTTTGACTTGTTCGATACGCTGTTGAGAGCCTTTAGGAACTGCACAGACATCATGTCTATTCGAACACGCAGTGAACTAGATGAATTTTCAAGATTTTTTTAGATTGAAAAGAGAAGTTCAACCTAATGACGAACTGTTTAATAAATCATACAACTGAAAACAACGAAGCGATGATTTGGGAATTTCATGCGTAACAATACCATGATGATCGATGAGGCCGATGAACGACCATCCGTTAACTGAGTGAGGGATGGACAATGAAAGGTCAGAAGACCGATAACCAAGGGACATGACAATTCCGAATAGTATTTAGCCCAAAAAAACCCGGGAGAATACGAGGTCTGTTGACACCATCAAAATGCCGTCAATAAAGCATTTGGGAGAGAGGCGGGTGATCGGCGGATTTGGTTGCAAAAAAGTAGTAGTTGAGAGGCACCAAAAGATCTAGTTAAAATGGTCAAACAAACGCCGGTTGCAAACGAACCGGATAAGACACGTTGGTAAACACCTGTTGGTTGCAAAACCCACGGGGCAGTACAAGCCTGGGTTAGAAACTGGGTTAGTTCGTCCGCGAATGCACACAAATGCCACGAACAGAAAGAAAACTAGACGGGATGACTATCGATCCACATCAAAACAATCATGTCGGTTGGACGCGTTCCCGAACACAGCTTTGCACATCAGCAGCGTTTCGAGAGGAAGTCGTTGAATTTATCACCGCTACGTGAATTGAGTAAAAAAATGACGAAACGGAATGGATTAACCGAAAGCGGCACCCCGGAAAAGATGTCATACGGGGTTATGGAGGATGTTCAAACGGAAAGACCGTTCAAGTGAATTGTCTCATCAAACTTGTAAAATGATTATGTTTATTTCCAAAGGGGAAATTCATCGTGTATATGTCAAATGAACCGTGAACTGAAAAGCTAGCAAGCACTGGACAGATGTTTCGACCTGGTTGGGTTTGTGGCCTGCAACAAGCTCGCGAAGATGGCTTGTGCTATATCGTGTAAATGGAAAATGAAAAACGGTCTGATCATCTGCCCGGTGGCCGAGTGAGTAGCATGCTTGCGTTCTGCCCATGAGGTCCAGAGTTCGATCCCCAGTTGGGTGGATGGATTCGCACTGCTGATGAGACCCAACCAGGTCGAAACAGCTGTCCAGTGCTTCCTAGCTTTTCAGTCCACGCTTTATTTGCTCTATACACGACGAATTCGCCTTCAAATTGAACCAAATCCTCCATTACTCACTTGAAATTCTGTTTATAGTTCACTGGAAACATCCGGCTCTCCTATTCTGAACCAGTAAGTCTGTTCCATTCGCAGGTATACTGACGAGATACTTTTGGAAACTCACACTGTATTCTTCTACCTGGACCTGGACAACCTGGCAGTATTGGGCCCACATACAAATCATGGAACTTTTTCTTTTTATAAAGATTATTGTACCATGATTTGCTTAACACAGTCTGGCTTCAGACGTGTGTGAAATATATACATACACTGTATGTTTCACTTGTGTACATAAGGGTTCATCATATGGGACAAAGGATTCAAACAATGTACTGGTTGATATTATGTTTGAAGAGAAGCATGTGTTTCAGACACTATCGTTAAAGCCAGGCCTGGAATCAGATACCATTTATTCGAGTAAAACACCTACAAATGGTATCATCCCCGGGGGAAGGGATNGATAAGACTCAGATAAATAAACATCAATTTTACTTTTGGGGTGTGAAAAAAAACAAATAAGCATAAGAACAAACAACAAGAACGATAAAAACAAACCTGCGCATGTGGCAATTGTCCCGTTGGATCCACCTCGAATTGTTGCCAACCGGATCGTTCGTGTTTCCGGTGCTCCGCTAGACTAAGTGCCATTGCAACCCGCATCTGTAATTCCAGTTCTTCATCCTCAATCGCATCATCCGGTCTCGTTGCAGGTGATTCAAAGGACATGTAACGCGATCGTGGAGTATGTGAACTAGGTGGAGAGGACCGATGCTGTCGAAACTCGCGGACATCTCGAGGACTGTTTGCACCACGTGCGGAGTACAACGGTTGAGTGCGCATCGGATCCAAACTGACAGAACGTCGGATAGTGAGGGAGCTGTAGGCGGGAGCTGGACAGAATGAGAAAAATACTAGGGAACATAGTAATGCAGCAACGTTGCAAATGTCACGTGAAGAATTACCTCACGTGTTTCTTACATATCTAAACGAACATTTATAACAGTGCTCCGTTTTTTGTCCATTTTCTTCAGTGAAATACCTAACTACTTTGGAATGGGAGGTGATGTTGTGGCCTAAAATTGGCTGACACGTTTTTCGTGTTTGCCTGTGGCCGGGAAGATTGATTGATTTGCTGAATGTTTGAATGCCTGCTTGACCGCATTCGGATGCCGTGTGACGCTTGAGCTAGTTGTTGGCCTTCTTTCTTTGGGTCGCCCCTTTTGCTTTTTCATCGGCCTATGGAACGGCTGTTTGTGCCTACTGCAATGAACGTAATGATTAATTCTTTGTGTGCTTATTTACCAGCCTAACCGAGACATAAAACTCACTTACAGTCAGTTTAAACAAGCTACGTTGAACCGCTTGCCGATTGACGTATCCAGATACGATACGCACCTTTTTATTAAACACACTTAAGTGTGAGGAACAGAAGACGAGGAAAGCCTCATAGTCACGAGGAAATGTTGTTCAGTGATGAAAACTGGTGATCTAAGCCCCCAGACTTGTAGTGGCGAACCACATAAGGCCTTGATAGGTTAGGCCTGGTATTGAACCGGACGACAACAAAGCTGCCTACTACCAAAGTTGGGTGGCGGTGGCGGGCTCGAACCTCGGACCATAGAATCCAAAGCACACCTGTGATAGCGACTAAACCACTGCGCCACCAGTAAAGTGCTTTTACAAGACTGGTGGGAGGCTGTGCCCGCAATCACCTTCTGTGGTGATCAGCTTTGCGTAGTTGAGAGCTTGATCAGAAATGGAGGTGCTGTTGAGGAAAAAAGCATATCACGAATAGTGAAAGCCAAGGCAGCTTCCGCAAACCTGCAACACCTGTGGCACCGCCATTACATCCAACTATCTCTTGAGGGTGGGACGTGGAACGCCGCAATTCTTAATTGCGGGACCTGGTCTCTCAGAGCTGACGATGCTAATCAATTTTCTGTATTGGACCATCGAGGTCTTCAAAGAACTGTTTATGTCTACTGAAAACATAGTGTGAGCAATGACGAAATTTTTCGTCGTGTGTGGGTACTCATAGTCGTGCTCTTAGGGAAATATTCGCTCGACCTAGCATGCAGAGAATCAGTCTTTCAATGTGCGCGTGCCCTTGGATTGACTGCGCTACACTTACACGCTCTCCGTCACATTGTGGGAATTTTCACCTTTTCACTCATTATCATGCACCGTCGTTACTCATGGGATGATATTATTTGTTTCAAACGTGCCAGGACATGCTTCGAAGGTTCAGCGATTTGTGCGACTCCATTTTATCGCTGTCCAGGCTGGACCAAAAAACGCAAGCGTACAGGATGGCAAGTTGCCCTTAATTGCACCCCTCTGTCAAAGATGACTGTCCCCTTATTGGTCAGCACCAACACTCGGTCCCTGTTTCCCCAAATGTCGGATTTAACTAGTGCCCTCCGATCAAGAATTCATACGAACACGTGTAGTCTGTGTTCAAGAATCATGGTTGAATAAGAACGTAGATGACTCTCTAGTGTCAATAGACGGTTTTCAAGTTTACCGGCAGGATCGTGGAACCGGAGGAAAAAAGACCGGAAGGGGGTGTTGCCACATAGGTCAATGTTTCCTGGTGTGGCAAGTCCCATGTTGTTTATCAGTACTGCTCAAAAGGTATCGAGTGCCTAACTATACAGTATCACCCTAGATTTGCCTGTTTTACTCACACACCTAAATTGGCTGAAAAGGCCATCCTCAAACGCCTTCAGTAGTCTATAAACATTCCCAGTGATCCGTTACAGTTTTCTTACAAGCCTAACAGATCCACCTAGGACGCAGTCTCCATCCTTATTCATTTCATCACTAAGTCTCTGTTAAGTCTGTTTGGTATGTTTTTCTGGACTACTCTTCTGCATCTGATTTCATTCCCCGATCCAAGTTGTTACAAAAACTGGAATCGTTTGAATGCCCCACGCAGTTGTTAGCTTGGCCATTCAACTATTTTACTGATAGAGTACAAACCACTAGATTGGGAAAGGCCACACCGAAACCCTTAGCCAACAACTCCGGGATCCTCCAAGGAGCGGTTCTATCCCCACACTTATTTTCCACTTATATTTGTTATATTCCCTGTATTTTTCCAGCACGAATTTCGAAATATGCAGATGTCGTGTTGTGCCAAGCCATTTATCCTTACTCTGATCTAAGTTCTTTCACCGATAATTTTGATCGAATTCAGTCATTCTCCTCCTCATCGGGGCTAACCCTGAACCCCAGTGAATGTGTTGAGTGTTTATATAGTTTTGCTCGCTCCCCATATCCGACAGACACCACAGTGATTAATAACAATCCTTTATCCAGGGTGAACTCTGTCAAATATCTTGGTGTAACCATAGATAGCAATCTTCATTGGTCAACCCACATCCACAACTGCATTCCTAAACTGCGACGCTTTTCATTTCAAATACGAAAGCTCAGGCAGTTTCGTGCATCCCAGTCAGTTATTTTTACTTTTGTTTATCGGTGTGTTTTCCCCGTCTTACTCTACTGTTCCCCGGTTATTTTTCCTGGTTTACTCAAACAGGATTTCAAAGTCTTATGCCGCGGTTTAACCATTATTAGTAGTGTCTCTTCTATTCCTGTGAATGAGTTAGCTTCGAAGCTTTCAGAGTATCAAATAACTTCCCGTGTGAAATTTGCTGAGAGGATTCTCACAGATCCTGACCACCCATTGCATGCAGAAGTGACACTTTGTCGTTCCCATCATTCAACATGCTCCCAATTCCGCCAAATTTCATCTCGAGTTATTACATACCGCAATTCACCCATACCGCATCTTGCTCGTCTACTCATAGACAAAGAGTGGACAATAAGTGAACTTTGTCTTAACCTTGGATTATGAAATGTCCCCATGCCTGTAAAAGCTTTTCTCTCCGTTAGCGTGTATGATTTTTTTAACTGAAATGTGAGCTCCAGTGCTTGCAAAAGTTATAAACAATACAATAGAATACAATACGAAACATCCGTATTATTCCCTTCAATTTGATCCAATGTGATCTGTGATTTGCCTCGGAAACGATCGCGAAGTGGAAGTGAGGTGACATACATACCCTCTTGCAATACCATGTGTCTGTGTGTGTGTGTGTGTGATAGAATCGTCTTGTCCCCATTCCGAATAAGCCCATCACTATCGCTCTGCTTGTCCCACCTGTTCTGGGCATGACAACCTTACAGTCGTGTCTCAGTAGAACGGTCGATGTGAATGCTTTAGTTGATTATTATGCGAAAATCCATCCGGTAGAGTAGTTATGAATTAGAGGTACTTCAACTGAGCATGAGAATTGGGGGGGAGGAGGAGGAGCGACTCTTTATTTAGTCTCTCCGTTTGTTTTGTGGAGTTTTTATATGGAAAGTTAAGCACATTAGTGCTGTCGTAGAGCGTACTCAGTCAAACATCACTGGAATCTGCTTTCTTCCTCACTTGTCATAAGATTGCCTTCTTTTAAATGAACCGTGATTCGAATGTTTCGAAACCGTGTTTTAAAATTAATCCCATCCATCTCTCTCTCTCTCTCTCTCTCTCTATATATATATATATATATATATATATATATATAAACTTGCGTTTTTGTGCACCGACTTTTGTTGCTGTCTTCCGTTTCGCCCAATTAAGGAAGGGCTAAATGAAAAAAGCTATCGGATGAGTGGAATACTGGAATAGAAATACGGAGAACAGATAAAAGTAAATGCGTATATGCATGAGCGTCGGTGTTAAAAGACACTTCACCAGAGTCTGTAATCCATTCATCAGGTTGCTCACAATATCCCAGACTGGATAGCTGACTGCAGACTGATGAATCAAGTTCTTTAGTGAAGATTTCCACACTCTAATGATAAATCATGATCAAACTACCAGTAAACCGTTTCTAACTACTACCCACAAAGGCTAACATCACGCGCCGAGGAAGCACATCCGATGGTCAGACGAATCACAGGACAACAGGGCAAACGATTATCAGATCAGGGCACATCGGTTTCGGAAATGATTGCTGGGTTCAGTAGGAATTAGCCAACGCGCGAGAACTCCGAAGACCACTATTCGAATTAGATCGTGAGAGAAATGCATTCGTTCAGTCGGTGCTCATATTTAGAGTGAAAAAAGAGAAACAGACAACACACGACATCAGGGACTATTAACGGGGATACCAGATTCAATCACTCTGGGAGAAAAATGCTCTTCCGACACAAACCAGATAAGAGTATTTAATCAATATTAAGCAAAGTAAGAATCACCCGGCGCGTCTCGTTTGGAAACTATGGATTTGGGAGGGAAGCACAGAATCTACTAGACAGATTGGAAATGAACAAAAGAACAACGGATTCTGTGAGCACAGAAACGGGAAGAAGTGGATAATTTTAATTATTCAAATGGCGCTTGGAAAAAAAACACGACGATTTCGCTCATCACTTAGACCTGTCACGTTATAAATCACTTCGATTTTTTCCCCATTTCCCACTTTTCTAAATATTCTTAGAAAGAAAAGGACAATTGAAACGAAGGGTACTTTTTGACTATTTGTTCTTGCACTTCTATATTAATGTCAGATCATACTGGGGCGACGTAAGGCAAGACTAACAAAAAGAGACACTAGAGGGGAGTAGGAGTACACAGTTGGTAAGATGATGGTCGTTCGGTTTTTTCGTGTTAAATCCCAATGATTATCCAGGCCAACGTTGAGTGACCCGCAACCTCAGAAGCCAAGTCCAAGTGTTCTATATGTTTGTTCGGCTCCAACAATAGCGAATAAGTACTATTTCATTTTCCGATCAAAAGTTGATTACGTCATATCGCCAGACCACAGTAACGTCAGGGTGTGAATAATCTGATCTGGTTAACATGATTAGGGTGGTGGTGGATTCGAATAGCTACTGTTTCTACGGTGCATTGCATAATTTGTTTCACTTGGTTAGACGGGCTCATTGAGGTCCTGCAGATGACCTCAAGTGACCCTTTGACATACATCGAATACCCCGTGATACGTGTACATACTCCACAACTGAGCTATGGACCTCTTTTCCTGATGGGATCGATTGACTCGACGAGTGAGACTGAATTCATCCAGATTCAAGATAACACAAGATAGAGTGTCCTTGTAAGTATGATACGGATTAGTAAAAGCACAAAACAGGTGACAATTTGATAACGTCTCACTCTAATGCTTGTCAAGTCTATCGGCTTAAAATTTATGAAATAGTTGATTCCGCAACGTATTACGATATCCCTCACCAATCCCAACGAGAATTGCCATGATGCCCTGGATAGTGACTATCGTTGTCCTTGTTAGCTCATTGAAATGCGGACACGAAGCTTTTCACGATTTCTCCTCGGATTTTGACTGCATGTTTCGTCGTTTATAATTAAAGAAGTTGCCATCATTAGAATAATCCCAGTCTCTTCTCGAATGACCTCAGATATCAGTGTTATTATGTACTACTCACATTTGTCAGTAGTCCGTTTGAGTATGATTGGCGGTTGCTCACAACGGTCAAAAACGAACAAGACCTTCTAGAGCGAATTACTGTGTTCAAAAGTGTAACCACAGAAAATGCGCATCTACCATCTGATCGTTCCAATAATTATCCTACGTGCCTTTGGGAA